GTGTCCCAGGGGAATATGGGCAAAGGGTGTTGGTGTTCAACAACAGGTTTCCTAAACACCTGAAGCGAACCACTGAGTCACATTGACTCGATGACTTGCGCTCTTAGCAAAATTCTAGCAGGTAAGGGGTCCGATAGGCTTCCCTGAGTTGGGGTGAGGACTGCGAAAGGCGACTGTGCCTTGATCGAGCGTGAGGTCATGACACCGTATAAAGATCAGTACGGAATAGAGAAAGCCATGCAAAACCATAGGGCCCCAACGTCAGGAATGACTGGTGACTGGTGTTCTTGTGGCCAGTCCCTGGACTGTGCATGTTCACTTGTGGTTCCACACTGAAGAATTTGATCGGTCAGTATGGGGTTTTACATCCATTGCATCCGCAGTGTGGCTGTTCAAGCGTAAAATGTGCGAGCAGCGCACTTGGACGGTTTGCTGTTTCCTTTTGGGCCCCAAACCGGTAACCCTTGAATCTATAGGTTATCAGCCGTAGGCCCCTAGCTCTAAGCAATGGACGGTTCCCTTGTGCCAGTTGATGGATTTAGCATGCCTGTGGATGTTGCCGGAGCTAGCTCCGGCAACGCCACCGGCAGCGGTGTGCGAATGTTCGCATCAAGCGCTAATGCGCAATACAACCGCACCCTGATGAATTCCCTTCAACTGTACAATACCGCAATCTTTGCTTTTGGGAATGATGCAGCCATTAGGTCCGAAGCCGAAGCCCTGCATCAAGCAGCTGTAACGCATTTGCAAGCGGAAAACCGTGAGGAGCTCCGTGCCGCACAGAATCAGCTGCATGCACACTACGCTGAATGTGTGCAAGCCCAGTCGCATAGGATTCGTGAATACGAACAGCGAGTGAGCGATGAGTTCATTCAAGAAGTGAACTTCGCTGAAGCTAGGATAAGCCAAGTGTGTGAGGAAAATGCCCAAGCATTGCATGAAGCGGAAATGGGACGCAAAACAACTGAGTTTAGGCAAGCCATCGAATCCACCCTGGCGGAAGCCCAGCAGCTCCTTCATGAGCAAGCTGCCAAGCACGCCGATGACACAGCCCGTGTTGAGGCGACACACGCCAGGACGGTTGACATGATGGCCCACCAAAACGGGCTTCTGCAGGACGAGCTCGATGAGCTGAAGAAGTATCAGAAGCAACACGACCTCCGCGAGGATGGATCGAAGCCCAAAGGGGTAGGTGATACCCGAGAGGATTCACCAGAGTTGATGACCGACGACATGAAGTCAGCTCGGTCCCAAAGGTCAATGTTGGACCCGCTCACCCATCCGTTTCAATATGCAAAGGAAAAGTTGAGGTCGCTTGTTACCTATGACGGCTACGGGGATGAATATACCCCTAGCGTGATTCCAACTGCCGAATGCGAAGCACTGCCCGCAGATGCTCGCGATCCGCAAGGACCAGCTGAAAAGCCATCAGGTAGCAGCCGATCCCCGGTGAAAACAAGTGCACCGGTCCCACCCCTGCAATTCTCTCAGGGGCCAATGTCAACTGACCGCAAGCAGGGTGGCAAGCCTCCTGGCGGTCCGCCACCTGATGATGATGGCGATGGCGATGGTGACGAAGACGATGGTGACGGCCTCGGGCCCAACCTCGGCAATGAAGCATTCGCCAAGATGTTGATGAAGTTAGTAAAAGGCCAAACGAACGATGAAAAGCCCAGAACCCGCGAAAGCGAGACGTTGCGATTCAAGGAGATGCCAACTCCTGAAACGTACCGTGAATGGAAAACATCGGTTCGTGAGGATGTCCGCGCCGCATCTGACCGTCCAGACGAGGCTTGGCCTTGGATCATGGAAGTCTGGTCTGATCGCGAGGACAAGAAGAAGCTGTTGGAGGAGCTCGGCGAACCGGGAAAATTCGTGACCCTAGACACGAAGATTCTCGCAGCGCTCACGCGTTCAGCGAAAGGCGATCTGGCTCAGCGAATCCTAACAGCAAACCAAGGAGGGAAAGGCCATGAGAGGAAGGCAGGTCTTGTTTATGTTTGACCAATATGTCAAGACCAGTGAGGAAGCCGGAAACCTCTACTCCTTGGAGGACCTGTTGCGTGTCTCGCGACACGGCGAAGGAATCATCGATCTCAAGCGTTTCCTGAATGCTTGGGATTCCGTGATCGCCGGCATGAAAAAGCCGCCGGAAGAAAAGGTGTTGAAAGACATCTTGCTTCGCCAAGTGAGAAGCTGCCATCTGTTGCGGTACGACATCGACACATATGATCGTTGCCGTGATGATGATCCCAATAAATCGTACGATTTCCTAATGCGTTGCATGAGGGATCTAATCGAGAGGGATAGGCTTCGCGAGAACCGAGAGCGCGTGTCCAAGGTCAATGCCAGTAAAGCCCCGACGCCCAAGGCTGGTGCTGCCGCCCCTGAAAAGAGGGACCCCAAGAAAAAGAGCGCACCTAAGCCGAAGGACACCGAGGAGAAGTACTGTTTTGACTTCCAGAAGGGCTCGTGCACGAGGGGGGCAAACTGCCCTTACGCGCACCGCAAGGAGCCGCGAGGACGCTCCGCGACCCGTGGCAGGCCAAGTTCCCCCAAAGGCGGTAAAGGAGAGAAAGCACCGTGTTCTTTCTTTGCCCAAGGGAAGTGCACTAGAGGTGACAAATGCAAGTTTAGCCATGCCTCCACGGGCGGCAAATCTGCCGCCGCGGCATCGAGCAGCGAGGCCAATGCAAATCCTGCGGCTAAGAAGCGTGCAAATTCACCTAAGCCTAAGCCCAAGGCCAAAGCCGCTGCAGTCTGCACCAGGTACGCCATGTTCGCAAAGCCGATCGATCCAATCGGAGTGTCATTCGACACCAATGCTCATGTGCATGAGATCCCCGCCGAAGGCGATGGTTTTAAGCTTGAGTATGAGGAACGGCAGTACAATAGGATGTTTCCAAGTGCCAAGGACTGCCCCAGGCCGACCAAAGGGACTAACAAGGCAGCGCGCAAGGCCGCGAACCAGTTGAATGCCGTAGTCAAAGCCATGGAGAATGGAGCCCAGCCCGCTTGCGGTTTCATGTGCGATGTGGAATCCGATTCCATCTCAAGCCTATCGTGTGATGAGTGCCTGAGAGTTGCCATGCCGCCTCACGATGTTCGCAAGGATGTCGAAGCGCCAAGGGCAGCCACCCCTGCCCCAAAGGGAAAGGATGTGTGGCTCATTGATTCCGGTAGTGAGCAGGACCTCATCAGCAAAGCTGCACTGAGGAATACGTCCAAGGCAATTCGAAAACAGGCCCCTCAGCCCATTCGCCTTGTGACTGCAAACGGAAACATCACTGCTTCCGAAATCGCCGACATCAATGTCGATGCATTGTGTGAGCCTGCTCAGCCTTACATCCTCGAGAGTTCTCCCGCAGTGCTGTCGCTGGGTGTGAAGTGTCTGGATCAAGGATATTCCTTCCATTGGGAATCCGGGAAGGCGCCAACCATGGTTCGCCCTGATGGTGCTCTGATCCAGCTCAAGGTTGACGGTCATGTGCCATATATGGATTCTAGCTGTGAAGCTGAGCCATCATTGAGTGCAGTAGCAGCATCCAAGCCAGCGCCTGCGCCGGTTCATGACGAAGGCATCGACGAAGGTGATGATCCCGACGATGAAGTTGAGCGGTTTGTGAGATCCCGCAAAGAGCAAGATCTGGTTGCCGAAGCAGGTACCAAAGAGCACTTGTTTGCACACTATCCGAAGAATCCCTTTTGCCGCACTTGCCAACGCGCCAAGATGCTTGCCCCATATGCAAGATCGAAAGGCGGGCAGGGAAGGCTCGAGACGAAAGCGTTTGGGGATCACATCATTGCTGATCATGTGATTCTCAAGGCCAACATCGAGCAAGGCATTAAAGGTGAATGGTGTGCTCTTGTGATCAAGGACGTGCATACGCAGTTCAGGTACGTTTATCCGTCGACCAGCAAAAGCACGGAGCAATCCGTTGCAGGGATCCAGCATTTCATTTCCGGTAGGGATGAGGTTGAGGTTCTCCACACTGATAACTCCCGGGAATTGAAAGCCGCAATAGAGCAGTTGGGGTACCGTCATCAGACCTCCATTGAATATGTTGATTCTTCCAAATCTTTCGTGGAAAGGGAAATCAGACATCTGTTGGAGGGAGCACGTGCGAACCTTGTTCAGTCAGGGTTCCCACTGTCGATGTGGCCATTTGCCATCCAGCACAATGCAGTTGCGACCAACATCCTGCCGCAGTTGAATGGAAACGATTCGCCATGGTACCTCAGGTTTAACAAGACCTTTGATGAAGCTGAGGTACCTTTCGGAGCAAAGATACTGTTCTGGAACAATCCTGCACGAGCTGACAATCAGGCAGGCAAGACTTCGCCAACATCGAATGAAGGCGTGTTTCTCGGGTACCATATTCAGCCCGGGTTCGCATGGAAGGGTGAGTTCCTCGTTGCAAAACTAGAAGGGCTCGATTACCATATCGAACATGCGTCCCTCACGGTACAGCGAACAAAGCGCATTGAGCTTCCGACTGATGAGTTCATCTTCCCGATGAGGTTGTTGAAAGACCCTGCATCTCATCCACCTGTTGCCAGTGCTAGGACACGAGATGATCCTGTGCCGTTGGAGCGTGGGCAAGCCCACATCGAGGAACCCGCCGCATCGGAGAAATCCGAAGCGAAGACCAAGCCTGTCGTGCCCGACAAAGGCGGTGCATTCGACCCGAGCATAATGCCTGATGGGTCACCAGTACCTGATGGCTATGTGTGGGATGGGGTTCGGCTCGTCCGTAGGAAGGCCGGATCCAAAAGGCCTCCCGATATCCCGTCTGACATGTGGGTCATGCTCGGCAGTCAGGACCGAAAGGCCCTAACCCAGCAATACGAAGATCAGCTCCGTGCAGATGCCAAGAAGGCAGTGCTTGAGACAGCAGTCTCTTCGGAGGCCAGATCCGAGCATCCCGAAGCCGCATCGAGTGCAAAGCCGACCAGCGCCGCCCGCGAGGGCGAGCCGACATTGCCTGTGATCCGGCACG